CTGTTGTGGTTTAACCCCAGCCAGCAACTAAGCACCATGCACCTGCTCGCTCACTCCCCCTACCCCCCCCTACCCCCATCGGATGGGGGAAAGAATCGGAGGAGTAAGAGTGAAAAAAACCGCTCCTGGGTTGAGATAAGAACAGTTTAATAATTGAAATAAGGTAAAATGATGATAATAATAATAACATAATGATAATAATAATAATGATATACGAAGCAAGTGATGCACAATGCAATTGCTCACCACCCGCCAACCGATACCCAGACAGTTCCCGAGCAGCGATCGCTGCTCCCCAGCCAACTCCCCCCAGTTTATATACTGAGCATGACGTCATATGGTATGGAATAGCCCTTTGGTCAGTTGGGATCAACTATTCTGGCTGTGCCCCCTCCCAGCTTCTTGTGCACCTGGCAGAGCATGGGAAGCTGAAAAGTCCTTGACTGGCATAAGCAGTACTGAGCAACAACTAAAAACATCAGTGTGTTATCAACATTGTTCTCCTACTAAATCCAAAACACAGCACTATGCCTGCTGCTAGGAAGAAAATTAACTCCATCCCAGCCGAAACCAGGGCAGTTTGTAGTCACAAGTTATGTATAAAAGACTATTATGGGTTTTTATGGGCTTAAATAAAGACTCATGCATAGAATAAAATTAATACTTCTGGACTGCAACTTCATTTCTATGTTTTTTAACTTAAATTTCTCTTTTGTGCATATACGATTTGTGTGCTAATTGAAGATACATTTCCTGTAGTATACATCCCTTACTTTGCAGTCCTCTCAAGTGGATTTGAATGCTGTTTAAGTTCTGTTCACTGCATGGAAATTATGTTACGGATATTTGGAATTACTTGTGGATATTTAAACAATGAATTTACCATTTCTCTGTTAAATCCATAGGGTGAATGAAGTAGAAGAGCTGTGCAAAGGCAGTCTTGAGTCTGTTTATTCATTATATCCAACTCTTTGCAGACTACAACTAATTGGAGAGTTGGAAAACATAGGTCTGCTGTTCTCCAGGTATTTTTTTAAGCTTGTTTCATATTCCTTTCTCAGTTTTCAGGATTTTTGGTAATCAAGTCTACAAAAATGAAATTACCTCAACAAATTTTATTCATGAACATCTCAAACTTCATCTAAAAAACATGGATTTTAGCTTTACTATGTGAAGACAAATCTAGATTCTCTTTATTTCCAGACTGGATTTATTTGTGGTCTAGTTTTAATTATTTGATTTTATGCCAATATTGTATTTTAAATAATCGTTTTCTGTCATTTGTTTTGAGTTCCCTGGTGTACTCCAAGGTAGCAGTCATATCTCCTAGCCTTTGGTTTACTAAAGTAACTGAGTCATCCTCTTCTAGTTTCCTTTCTAAAAATGTTTTCCATTTCCTTGATGATACCTGTCAATCTATTGAATGTTGTTTCTGTTTGAATTACTTTCTTCATGGACCACTGTTACCATCAGTATTCTACCTGAATTCTCAACACTGCTTTTTAATCATAGGAAGGTATTTATCTCTGTAGTACTATTAACATTGAATTTTTTCTGCTACAGTTTTATCAGTTTGGTAGCTTACAGTCATCCTACAGTCATTTAGCATGTCCAGGACCTTATGAACCATTGCTATTTGCATTTAATGAATTGTCTAAGAAAATAATGTAACGACATATAATAACATGTAACGACAACCTACACAGCTACAATGTCACAGTTTGGAATTTATTCTTATATTAATCCATATACGACCTAGATAATAAAGTAGGAATCCTGGTCTCTAATCTTTTAAGTAGCCCTGTATTTGAATGCGATTCCTTTTGCTGATGGACCTTTAACACAACAGGTTTTGATGCTTTATCAAGATTGTTTACAGTGGAGTTGTTCACCTTACTAATGTTGATCTCTTGATCTTCCTGTTTGTTAAAACTGGAAGCCTGCCAGTTTATTCTGCATATTAATCACTGTAGGGGTTTATGGACTGTTTCTTCGTTTTGAACTGTAGATTGTGAACTACCTCGGTAATTTACTTTTGTTACTCATCTTGCATTTCACTAATGTTTAGCGAGAATTAATAACATGTCTTTTTTCTTTTGGTAACAATTGCAGATCTGTTACCACTCAACAACTGAATGAGATTTATTTGAAATGGCAGAGACAGTCCCAGCTTCTCAAGGACAGTGACTTCCGTTTCCAGGAACCTATCATGGCTCTGCGCACTGTAATTTTGGAGATCTTGCTTGAAAAGGAGAATGACAATACCAAAAGAGAATGTATTAAAGACATCCTGACCAAACATCTAGTGGAGCTCTCTAGATTGGCAAGAATTGCTAAAAATACACAGGTAACAAATTCCAGGAAAGATCAGTGATGGATGTTTAGTTTTTTAGTTTATAAAAGAACTTCATTTTTTAACAGTACTAAAGAGTAACTGTATTCTGAGTTTATTCAATGAATCAATTAGTTGGAGACTTAACCTATGTAGAACTTATTAATAAATTGTATTTATGGGCACGTTTTTTCTGAATTTTATTCATAACAGTAAGCTGCTCTATGAGGTAGATAATGTAAAAATGAAATTTTTAGTGGAAAATTCTCTTATAGATCTGTTACTTTATTTTGGTGCAGTTTTAGATATCCAGCTTTCACTTGCATCATATTGTTGTGGTATTTCAGAGTACAGCTGCAGAAGGGACTCCATTGCATCTGTATATTTAGTGTTGTCTTCAAGGTTTTATGCTCTCAAAGCACTATTGCACTGTGGTAAATCTCTCTCTTTGAATGACTTAATGGGATTTGCAGTATCAGTGGTTTCTGCATCTGCTAATGTGTTAAGGTCCAGAGTCAGCCTTGGCTTGTTCTAGGTAGTGCATCTGGAAGCATAGCTCAACAAGAATTTATAGAGCAACAATATCCTCCAAGAACCTCTGCAGAAAGTAGTTCCAGCTAAATATATAACCTGGAAAGATGTTTTACGCTTCACATATGTGAAACTATATTAAACTTTGATTTCAGGAAGTTTCTAACTCTTTTTGTGAATAATGATGAAATCAGTAGGACAGCTGTCTTCGATTTCATAAATTTGCAAGGTTTACTCAGTGCCTCTGGAATTGTTTGGGAAAATGACTTCTACAGAAATATTTTTGTCTCATGCCTGCCCGGCCATTAACACTGTGGTGATAAGTGTCCTGTAAGATCCTCAACAGAAGTAAATTTTTTTTCACTTTGATTTTTAGTTACAGAAGAAGATTAAAATTGGGGCACCATATTTTGGGAGGATTAGAAGATTCTGAAAGATTGAGATACTGTGTTTCTGAAAACTGTCATTCCAGCCTCTTCAGTGTTGTAGGTCATGTGCAACCTTTGGGTCATACTTTTGGGCCTTATCAGTCTTTCAGACCATGGGATGATAAGCCTTTCCTTTTGGCACACTAGTAGTTGACAATACTAAGTGTCTGGATGTAGGAAATTTTTTGAGGAAGCACTCTTTGCAACTAATGGCTTTTCTTCCTCTTTGGTGCCACTACCATCTGTCAGGAGAAGGAATAGTGCTCCATACAGAATCATACACTAACCACTAGCTGAAGTACCCAAACGCACATTGTCATTTGCAGGCATTTTTACATTTCAAGTGTTTACCTTGCTTATTTAAAAGTTTGATTGATTTGGTTATTGGTTGGACAGCTTCTGAAAATACACTCCAGTCTTGATCTTGGACATTGTTAAAAAGATAGTTTGCTCTTTGTGCTATCATAGTGATATTAGATTACTAAATAATGAGGATGTTACTTCACCAGTGATACGAGTGAAGAGGTAGGCATACAAAAGAATTAGTGTATGGTGGTGCCATTTTTCTTACTATTTTTCTGTGGTCTCTTAGGATGTAATGATAATCACTAAGCTAAAACTATAAATCCATTATTTCAGTAGGTACTGATTGTAGAATTTGTATGCTTTATACCTCCAAGTAATTTAAAATGTTAATCATTGATACTTTATTTTGGGGTTTGTGAAGTTTAATTCCATAGTCTTTTTTTTGTTGCAAATCAGGATTTTCTGCATCTATGTAGAAAAATAACTTCATCTCTTTGCTGCAGATAAATTCTTAGCATTGGATAGGCAGATTATGCTGCACAAGTAGAGCAAATGAAGATGGAGTTTCAAAACAAAACTTGCTGTGAGATACATGTATTTCACTTGAAGAATTGTTCATAATGGTTTTTCAATTTCAGCTTCCAGAAAGAGCTATGTTTCAGATCAAACAATACAATCCAACGGGATATGGAGTTTCTGAATGGCAGCTAGAAGAAGCTCAGGTTTTCTGGGCTAAAAAGGAAGAGAGTCTTGCACTGAATATTCTTAAAAGGATGATAAAAAAATTAGATGCAGATTGGTTTCAGGTATGTGTTATATAATGTATAAACTTATGTGAATTAAATTATTTAAGATGCTATTTCCACTTTCCGAGGTTTTCCCTTGGAAGAAAATTAAAAGGCTGGCTGCAGTATTACTAAATCTGTTTTCTACTCTCAGAATGTCTGAAAGCAAAAAAAATCTGTATTAGCAAATCTTATCGGGGTTTTCAAAGCGAGCCTGTAAGAGTGGCAAATGTTAGAATTCATTATTCATTATTTTGCCTCCAGTGCCATCACTGTGAAATATATATTTTTTTTAAATCAGAGACTATTTTCCTTGATAAAAAATTAACTTATTTTAAACAAAACTGTTGCATAGAGGTGTATCATCTTGTTCTGTACCAATAGTTAAAGAAACTAATGGCCAAGCAGGATTGTTTAGGCATAGAATTATTTAGGTTGGAAAAGGCTTCTAAGATCATCGAGTCCAACCGTCAACCCAGCACTGCCAAGTCCGCCACTAAACCATGTCCCTAAGTGCCACATCTGCATGTCTTTTGAATATCTCCAGGGATGGTGACTCAGCCACTTCCCTGGGCAGCCTCTTCCAATGCTTAATAACCCTTTTGGTGAAGAAACTTTTCCTAATATCCAATCTAAACCTCCCCTGGCACAACTTGAGGCCATTTCCTCTCCTCCTGTTGCTGGTTACTTGGGAGAAGAGACCAACACCCACCTCACTACAACCTCCTTTCAGGTAGCTGTAGAGAGCGATAAGGTCTCCCCTCAGCCTCCTCTTCTCCAGGCTAAACAACCCCAGTTCCCTCAGCCGCTCCTCATAAGGCCTGTGCTCCAGACCCTTCACCAGCTTTGTTGCCCTTCTCTGGACACGCTCCAGCACCCCAATGTCTTTCTTGTAGTGAGGGGCCCAAAACTGGACACAGTATTCCAGGTGCGGCCTCACCAGTGCCGAGTACAGGGGGACAATCACATCTCTAGTCCTGCTGGCCACACTATTTCTGATACATATTATGTTGGGAACTGTAACAATGTACATGTTCTTGTCAGAAGAAGTGTAATAATAAAGATTTTATCTCTGGTCCTTATTGTGTAAAAAAAGACTAATACAGGGAGGCACTAATAATATATTTTATGCTAAGGCAACTTACCTCTGTTGTAGGCATTTCCCTGATGTCAGTAGGGAATCTTTGTGCAAAGGTGGGGGCATGAGTTGAGGCTTCTATTTCAGTGGGGCTGAAGCTGTATCACAAAGTGTACAGAAATTCCAGGCAAGGTTTTGACTGCTAAAGATTCACTGCTGTACCTCAGACTTCTTTGTCCCTTGAACTAAGCCATTATCAATGAACACAGATAGGACTTGAGGTGCTGTTTCACGTCTTTGAATCCTCCCCCAGTTACAAGTACACTGAACTGTGTGAGTTTTATGTTGTACTTCTGAAGATGGAATCTTACCTCAAACGGGAACGTTTTCTCATCAAATTTGACTTCAGCAAGTGCCTCTGAATCTTAGTTATCTTAGATCTTTTTGTAAGCTTTCTGAAAAATTAGGTCACTTGATGTGAAGCAAATACTATATTCCCATCTCCAGAATGCAAGAACTGAAACAAAAATCCCTCTCTTCTATCTCAGTAATGGGCTATACAAAGTTCCTAAGAAAAAGTGTAAAGAATAGTTGGGCTGTATAGCCAGAGCACTCCCCCAGACTGATTTGTAGCACAAGAACTTCCTGAACGAGAGGTAGTTTCTTTGTAGGTAATTCCTTCCAATATTTTTTATACCATAAATCTGTGCAGTCACTTTGTGAGCGTGTGTAAACTTTTAATATCCAAGAAAACCCTGCAACAAGCAGTTCACAGCTTAATTCCCACTGTTTTAAGAGCCACTTCCTTTTGTTCGTTTTGAACCCCTCATCTTCATTTGATGTTAGTTCTGATCTTGGAAAAAACACTGAACACGTTCCCTGTCTCCATTCTCCATAGTGAGGTAACATTTTATAGTTACATTTCCAAACAGGAGTAACTGTTTCACAGTCCATCATTGTATACAAGAAGTATTTTTTCCCCCATTCTTGCATCACTTAACATTTATATTTTGCTGGTAATTTAATCACATTTTTTTAATTCCGTTTATTGTCCTGTATTGTTTGTCTGCAGTTCTTCAGTCTGTCCTTGTTTTTATCACCTGGAATAACTCAATATCATCACCAGATTTTGTGTTCACTGCTTATCGCTTTCTCAAGATTAGTATCTTTTGAACAGCGCAGATGACTGGTTCTTTGGAGGTTTTTCACTGGTGACCTAATTCCACTGTAAAAAAGTGGCCCATTTATTTCTCTTTCTATTGCCTTAGTTCTTTATCCCTCCAAGAATCATGCATTTTATTTCTTGCAACGTAGTTTCTTCAAGAGCCTTCTGTAGAAGACCCATGTCACGTGACTGTTGGAATCTTTTGGAGTAGGCTGAATCAGACAGATCTTCCCTTTGCTTGTTGAGTTCTTCAAGAAGTTCAGTTGAGTTGGGAAATGGGATATATCTGAGGATGTTGAGAGAGTTGGCTGACATCGTATCAAAGCCACTTTCATATCATCTCTGAAAGGTCATGGAGATCAGAGGAAGTCCTGATGACTGGAGGAGTACAATCACACCCATTTACAAAGAGGGCAGAAAGCAAGATCAGAAACTACAGAGCAGTCAGACTCATTTCAGTCCTTGGGAAAATTACAGAACAGATCTTCAGGGAAGCTGTTGCCATGCACATGAAGGAAAAGAAGGTGGCTGGGAAAAGCCAACAGAAATATATGGTCATGCTTGACCAACCTGATTGTCTTCTGTGATGAAACAGTTTGCCCAGTAGACATGGGATGAGCTGTGGATGTCATCTACCTTGATTTTAGCAAGGCATTTGACACAGTGTCCCATAATATCCTACTGACAAGCTGGTAAGATACAGACTGGATAGATAAGACAACAAGATAGGTGGAAAACTGGCTAAACAGCTGAGCTCAGAGGGGGCTGGTTGATGATTCAAAGGCAGCCTGGTAGCCAGTCAGAAGCAGAGTTCCTTAGGGTTTGTTATGGGGTCTGATACTATTTTTATGACTGAGATATGTATGACAGGACTGAATTTCCTCACGAAATTTGCAGATAACAGAAAACTGGAAAGAGAGAGAGATATTCGGGAAGGAAGAGCCACCAGTCACAGAGACCTCAGTAGTTTGGAAGATTGTGCCAATAGGAATTCCATGAGATCAGTGGGAATTCCTTCACCTGAGATAGAATAATCTCAAGCAGCATTACAGGGAGGGGACTGACTGGCTGGGGTGTAGCTTTGCCAAAAAGGATCTGGGGGTCCCAGTGAAAGGCAAGCTAAAATGATTCAACAGTGTGCCCGTATAGCAGTGAAGGTGAACCATGTGGTGGGCTGCATCACCAAGAGTGTAGTCAGTAGATTAAGAAGTGTGATTATTCTACTTTATTTGGCACTTCTTAGCCCACACCTGAAATAATGTGTCCGGTTTTGGTCCACCATTCAGGAGAGACATTGAAAAATTGGAGAGGGTCCAGCAGAGGGCCACCACAATGAGCGCTGGAGAACTTGGCAAAGGAATAAAGGTTGTAGGGGTTGAGTTTTTTCAGCCTTAAGAAGTGAAGCCTTAGGGGGATCTAGTCATGGTCTTCCAATACCTGAAAGGTAGTTGTAGTGAAGATGGAGGTAACTCTGCTCACAGAGATGCACAGTGAAAGGGCAAGAGGCAATGGCACAAGCTGTTTCAAGGGAAATGCCATCTGGGTACAGGAAGAAAATTCTTCACCACTAAACACTGTGAACAGCGTGCCCAGAGAAGTGATGGAATCTCCCTTGCTGGAAATGAATAGTCAAGACTCAGTTTAGGAGAGTCCTGAAAAACTTAATCTAAAGCACTGCTTTCAACAGAAGGTTGGGCCAGGTGGTCTCCAGAGGTTCTAGCCTTGACTTTTCCATCATTCTGTGATGTCCTTTTACAAAAGCTGTTCTGTTTTTTCTTCATATTAATCTATCTGTTCTCTTTGTGGATTTTTTTTGCTAATTTGTCCACTTCTGATAAGAGTCTTAGTGACCTGTGCTTCCCTGGAACTTGTTAAAATATTGATGTCACATCTGCCACCTGCCACTCATATTAATTAAGGCAGTTTTAAGCAAAAGCTTTTATACCTCTTTTATAATTCAGTTATTTCATCTGTGAATTGCTGTAGACCTTTTGGAAAAATACATTCTCATCCTGGTGAGTTGATAGTTTTCATTTTGTCCATTTGTTCAGTAGCCTTTGCTGTTGACACTTCAATAGGAGACAGACCTTTGAATCCCTCATAAAGAAAGGCTTTGCAGTGGGACTCTTTAAGCTCCTCCACAGTGAACACAAATGCAAATAATTTAATTTTTTTTCTGCTTTACCTTCTCAGACTGCTATTTGTTTTATAACTCTATTATCTTTTTATCAAGTGGACTGTCTGGTGGCTAGCTGCTCCTAATATGTTTTTAAAGAAAAGGGGGGTTATTATTTATTGAGTTATCTTCAAGTTGTTTGGAGTTTTTGGACAGCCTGGTAGTGAGGTTTTATTTTTTCATTTGACAGGATATTTTATGATTTTTTTAGTATTTTTTATTTTTCACTTGTTCAAAATGTCATTTTGTGTACTGATGTAGTAAAAATTTCTTCATCATCCTTACCTTTGTGTTTAGCTATGATGGCTTGCTTAGGGTATTTTTTGGAGGGTAGTAAACATTTGCTTTGAATCCATATACATTGTTAAGGAGTATCACACTTCAGAAAAGTTGGAGAATTTGGGGCTGAGTTCTCCATATATATCAGGGCAAAATCAAGAGTTGCTGCTCCTCTTTTGATTTTCATGAATGCTCCATGAATCAGTTGATGAGGGCTTCCAAAAATTTAGTCCTTCTCTCACCTTCCATTGTTATGTTTACCCCGTCCACATAAGGAGGTTTTGTGTTTTCACAGCCTATGATATCCTTTGGTATTTCACAGTCAGCATTGCCATCTTGATCAGGTGGTCTTTAATATGTACCCTATACTAAAAGTATTTTGGAAACTTGCCCTACTATACAGTTAAAGGTGAGCTTCCAAGCTGGAGGCAAGTCCTTTGGAAACCTGCTCCATCATCTTCTCAGAGCATTTTTAACCAAGTTTCTATCTAGAAGTCTGAAAAAATTTAATGATCACACAAAGTTATCACAATTCCTGAATGTTTGCTACAGAGTGTACTGTGGTACTTCAGACTAAATGGGGATATTAGAAAATACAATTCTGGAAACATGCTGTGAATTTATTTAATTTTTATTACATTTTGTCATTGTTTTATTAAGTTTTTCATTGTTCAAACTGTCAGGTATTTAAAAATACGTGCTCTCCTTTAGTCTAACATGGAATGAGAATGTGATTTAAGGTTATTGACTACTGTAGATGTGGATGGTAAATGACTCTGTAGATACATTACGTGTAATAGGCTCGAGTGATTGAATTATATTCAGGGTTTAAAAGCTTTTTAAATTTCCAACCTCATATGTAAAACCTATTTTTATTTCATGCCTCCCTCTTTTTTCTTTTTTTTCCCAAAACTTGGTTTCTTCAAGGTTGAGAATGATCCTCATCTGAAATTGATGTATACAGAGTGTCTGCGGCTGTGCGGAACCTGGTTAGCAGAAACATGCTTGGAAAACCCTACAGTCATCATGCAGAAATACTTAGAAAAGGTGCATCCAGTCTTTGAAATGTGGAGTCTTTGAGATAATGCTGTGCTAAAATATGTTGTTAAAATATCAAGTAAATTTTACAGTGCAACCTTTATTTTTCTGGATTGAAAATACGGATTTTTATAAAAATAGTATAGTTTCACATAGTATTGTATAACATTGTAATCTTCTAAAATATTCAGAATATGGTTTTACGGAATTCATAGTGAAACTTCTGTGTAATATTGGCTTAGAAGTTAAGTGATAATGACTGCTAGTCCTGTTTCCCTTTCCTATTCTGTCCCATCCTCTCCTTTTCAGGACAGATCATTCACTTAACATGTTTTCAGTATGGGTATTGTATTTGCAACAGTCTCTTTCCAAGTGCTGGGAAGTCTTGTACTAGTATTTCAAAGTACTGTAATTTTTTTTAAACTCTTAGTCAGTAGTAGAAACGTTTTTATTAATATTTGCCTACTCTGCATTTCTTTATTTCATGCTGATCTGTGAAACTCTGCATAGTTGTTTTTCTCTGTTACTCTCTACATGGTTTCTTCACTCTGATGATTAAACTTTCACATATAATTTCTTTCTTTTTGGCACTTTTTGGCTTCATGCTTAGTTAATCTAAGAGATAGATAGCTGTAGGAGACTCCTGTATGGTTATTAAAGCCGTTTCATACAGGATAATCTTTTTGACTGTTTGCACTGAAACACTCCTCAAAGATTGAATTCATTTAGGAGAAAAATACTCAGCCTGGTAGGTTTTATTTTGTATGCATATACATTCAGTCATAGGCAACATTAAATAACTTGTTCAAGCAGATGACCCTGCTTGAGCAGGGGGGGTTGGACAAGATGACCTGCAGAGGTCCCTTCCAACCTCAACCATTCTGTTTTTCTGTGATAATAGAGTTTAATCAAGTATTAGGCAGCGCTGTTAATCTGATTATCAGTCATCTTATTATTGTAACTTCCCTTTCAGGCTGTGGAAATTGCTGCAAGCCACAGTGGAGACAGCAGTGATGAGCTGAAGAAAGGAAAGATGAAGGCTTTCCTGTCTTTGGCTCGTTTCTCAGATAATCAGTACCAGCGAATTGAGAATTACATGAAATCCTCAGAGTTTGAAAATAAGCAGGCATTACTGAAGAAGGCCAAGGAGGAGGTTGGCCTCCTAAGGGAGCGCAGAGTTCAGACAAATAGGTGAGCATTCAAATGGAGAGGTGGTTACTATGGAGCCATCAAGAGCTCCATCTTTACCAATTCTTTGTCTCTCTGGGCAAGTGGTACAGCATAGGTCACATCTCTGCAGCTGAATTTTTCCTCCTCTTCACAAAACAGTGGCCAAATCTGTAGTGCTTGTTGCAAATAGTTTCTGAACAGTGCCTGAACATGGTCTAGGAGAGTGCTACATAGCATAGGCCAAAACTAAGCCTAGGAGTGTTACAACAGTTAAACAGTATGGATGATCAGGGGCCAGGTTTCACATTTATTCCCTGGATCTGTTTAGTTTATTTGACAGAGAAAATGTTACAGGGTAAAATTAAATGTTCGAGATTTTTCTCCATCACGCATTTGGTGAAAGTGTAGAATTCATCTTAATAGAGAACTCTTAAAGATTTAGTAAGAGCAATTGCAAGTGAGCAGAAAATTTTGAACTTCAGCAGTTGGAAACTGAATTCCTTACATAATGATCTGTACTGGGTATTCATATTTACACCAGTATTGAGATTAAATCATAAGAAAAAAGACACTGACTGAAAATTTACTAAGAGTGGTGGGTCTGTGTGGACATACACTAAAGAAATAGCTCCCACAATTTCGTTTCTCAGTTGTTTATTTTACTGTGCTTGTACATACAAAACAGGTAAAAAAATGTTTAAATTAGTAAGCAAGAGAAGTAGGGACAGCCTTACTTGTAAGTTTGAGAGAGTTGGGGTTGTTCAGCCTGGAGAAGAGAAGGCTGTGCAGAGACCTTATTGCAGCCTTTCAGTACTTAAAGGGGTCCTATAGGAAAGATGGGGAGAATCTTTTTAGCAGGGCCTGTTGTGACAGGACAAGGAGTAATGGTTTTAAACTAAAGGAGGGTAGATTTAGACTGGATATGAGGAAGACATTTTTTGCAATGAGGGTGGTGAAACACTGGAATGGGTTGCCCAGAGAGGCAGTGGAGGCCCTAGAAAGATTCATGGTGAGGTTGGATGGGGCTCTGAGCAACCTGATCTGGTTAAAGCTGTCCCTGCTCACTGCAGGGGGGTTGGGCTAGATGACCTCTCCTTCCAACCCAAATCATTCTATGATTCTACATTAAGAGATACTTTTTTAAAAAAAAATGTCTTTTCACATAGGTATACAGTGAAGGTTCAGCGAGAACTTGAACTGGATGAATGTGCCATACATGACCTAACTGAGGATCGTAAACGTTTCTTGTGTAAAGCAGTGGAGAACTACATCAGCTGTTTACTAAGTGGAGAAGAACATGATATGTGGATCTTCCGACTCTGTTCCCTGTGGCTTGAAAATTCTGGAGTTGATAGAGTCAATGAAATGATGAAGGTATATGTCTGCTGTTGCTTTTCCTTATTATGCTTTGACATTAAATTATCCATCTTTCTTCTCCTCCTGCTTTGTTTCTAGAAGATGAATTGTAGTGCTGTGCAGTATGCTTTCCTGTGTATCTCCTTAACTTTTCCCTCAAAACTCGCTTTTCTCAGTCATCATTGCTCATCAGTTAGTTTTTCATTGGTGAGAGCTGTAATTCTCAATGCATTTTAATTTAATTTAATTTAGCATTTTAATTTGACAAGTCTATATGATTAAGCATATCTCATGATCTTTCACTGTTGTGACCTTGTTCTTTATATACCTTGGATACTAAGAGCTTCAACATCCTTAAGTACATTATTCTAGTTTATATCATATATACTTTTAGGTGAAAGGATGTGCTTTTAGACTGTCTCTATAACACAGTAGCCAAGGGCTAGTGAAAGTTCTCATTCTCAGGCTGGTTCTATCATTTCCAGGATCATGCGGGAAATCCGATAATTTTTACCTGAATGATCTGTTTATAACAGAGATCTGTATAATTTAATTCTTCGCTTTGTGTTATAATTAACTTTGAAAAATAGAAAGTGCTCCTTTACTCATGTTTTTAACACACAATTGTTTCTTGTCTTAAACTAGATTTTTTTTTTTAATTAGGATTGTGTCTTGCCACAAAGAATCAAGAAATGAATTCTAAATCAATATATCTAAGCTCTGCTCTAGTAGAATAGAAAATAGTAGTTTTCTTATGAAGCACTTGTAGTGTTCAGGAAGCGTGGACCAAGATGATGTGATACTCAACTGGTTTGCCATTTGATCACACAGCAATGATTACTCTCAGTTTAAAAAAAAATGCAAAACCAAAATGCTAGGCCTTACCTGGTGTTTTATGATTACAATTTTTTGAGGTGTTTAGTACAGCTTTCTACTTGAATTTTCTCTACTACAGAAAAATGCAGAGAAGATCCCTTCATACAAGTTTTTGCCTCTGATGTACCAGCTGGCTGCTCGGATGGGAACCAAGATGATGGGTGGTTTAGGATTTCATGAAGTTCTGAATAATGTAATTTATGCTTTTCATGTCTAAAGATATCTTGATTGGCTTAGTAGTGCATGCTTCTAAACAATATGTATCTTCCTTTGTGCAGTTGTAGCTAAATGAGTTTTGTAGGTGATAAAGGTGTATTAAAAATGAGTGATGCAAAATCAATATAGTGGGGGGAGAGGGGAAGAGGATTGGGGACATTTTTCCTTGCTACTTAATTGATTTTCTTGTTGGATAAGAATAGTCTTATGCAGGTATAGGAATATACTTTGAATGTATTTTAGTTGTGGAAATACCACCTAAGTATTCCTTTTTATTTCTTATTAGGAACCTTAGAAGTTCAAAAGAATTAATAATGTTAACGAAGTAATTTTTTTCTTCTGTACAGTTTTCAGTAATGAGATCTTTTTGTTTTTCTTGACAGCTAATGTCTAGAATTTCACTGGATCATCCACATCATTCTTTGTTTGTAATATTAGCTTTGGCAAATGCTGACAAAGATGAACTTCTCAGAAATGCATCACCAGATGCAATAAGAAGAAATAAGTTAATTAAAAATGCACCGAAAGAAATCTCCCAGCTTGATGTGGTGACTACAAAAAATTCTATTAATCACATTGAGTCCTTTACTTTTGTTAAAAAATGAAAAAAAAAAGTATGTCAAAGGGTATTTTAGTGTAGAGCTCATCAGCTGACTTTTGTTAAGAAAGAGTAGGAGGAAAAAAGTACTTTTAATAATAAAACAACCTCCTTTTGTGCATACGTTGGTAATTATTATTGAAAGAAGTAATTATGGGGTTGTACAAAACATGGTTAACATTTTCTGCAAGAAATAGCTCCAGTTATGGAACGAGTTTTGTTATAAATGTCCTTGATGTGTGATTCTGTAAAAGGCATTTAGATGCAACAAAGACTTGAGTGGGTTTATTGTTAAAAGTACATACTGAATTGAGTATTTTTCTGCTTTGAGTGATAACATCTGTTCTAAGTATTTAGCCTTGTGCAGTATATCTTTTGTTCTTTTATATGACCTTTATATGTTCGAAGCCATGATGATGGGTAATACTGAACTGTGGCTTCATGTGAATGTAGTTATTGCTTAAGTTTTGCTGGAACCTGTCTTTGGAATTATCTCATATTTCGATTAATGCCCCTTCTTTCCCCTATCACTACAGACCGGGCACGGTTGTTTGTCATTACCCTCTTAGCCCCAACACTGACACAATTTTTCACCGCATTTTTATGTGGCTTTTTTTCCCCTTTCTCTCAGATTTGTAGTTCTTTTGTGGTCCCACCATTAGGAGTAGGATTATGCTAAACTCTAAGTCTCTCAGAGTTAGGCACAGAAGGGACGCATGGTCAGATTTTTGCCTTTTGCATACTGGCTTTTTCTTCAGTTGGGAGGAAATAATGGAAGCAGGAAGGTGGTGGAAGACCATCCAAAACTGTCTGTTGCTTTTTCTGAAGAATTTTTGCAGGTTTTTTGCACTTTGCCTGGACAGATTTGCTCCCTCTCCATCCCCAATAGTATTTTACTTTATTCATTATCTCAGATTAGACAGCACTGAACTTTTCTTCAAATTATTTGTGTTCATATCACAAAGGGCTGTCCATTATTGCAGTTTTCTCTGTTTTCATAGGATGTATCTCAGTTGTACTTACTTGACTGCATGTTATGATGGATCTTTAATCTTACAAGGTGTAGTTTGCAAGATCTGATATTTGTATTCCATTGGGGTTTTTTAGGACAGAATGGAGGCTGCTAGCAATATAATCAATATTGTAAGACAAAGGAGAGCTCATATGGTTAGAGGCGTTGAAGCACTTTGTGATGCTTATATCACATTAGCAAATGTAGATGCTACTGCATGGAAATCTCAAAGAAGTAAGTCTTGGAAAAATTATTTTTATTAATTATTAATAATTATATTGGTAATGGAT